TCAGCAAAAGTCACGAAAGAGTGAAGTGCCGATAAGAATTAAGAAATGTTTCGAATTTCAAAAAAGTAACGCTTATTCGGTTCCTCGGGGATGACCACAAATACCACTAAAAGCCCATTTTTACCGGCGACAAATCAACAGTCGCTCCCCTCCCCCCTCCCTCTTCAAGGGTTAGACAAGACTTTTTCATACCTTTTTACCTACTTTTTCATAAAAGTAAAGTATCGTCGACCATCTACGGTAACCCCAATCCCATGATTTACTGCGATTGTACAGAAAGCCGAGGAGTTAACTTTAGTTTAGTACAGTTGAGTTGACAAGTCGGTACAAAGTTGTGCTGTGTGTATTTACACAAGTCAGAGTAAAAAAGGCTTCTCTAGATTAGCTGTAGCGCAAACTGATGCTCAGTTGTTACTGTGAAAAGCCGGTCTTGAGTGGAATTTCGCGCCGTGGATAATAATTTCTGTCACTGCACACTTTACAACTTTGTACCGACTTGTCAACTTCACTGTACTTCATGTTTATGGTTTTTTTATGGAACCCTATAAGAACAATTAAAAACTTAGTGCTTAGTTTCCCTAATTCCGAACGCCTTGTGAGTCCTCGATGGATTCAGAGAAAGAGCCATAAAAATGGAGTCAATGTTCGAGAATATGCGGTCGAAACTCATTCGTGACTGAGAATGTCGCTCAAGAAGATACGTCGCATGCATGAATTCGCGGACCGATGAGTTCTTCATTTTATTGCGTACTTTAGCTGGATTGCTATAACAACTAATCGTAAATGAAACTGCAAAAATCCTCGATGTTCCCGTGTATGAGGCGATATACCCTCTGTCTCACTCCGTGATAGGATGTCGTATAGGACGGCGGTCAACGCGAGCAGTCGGCACGGCAGTCGCGGCGCTGGAAACTCTGGTCGGGACCCAAAACGCTAGCAATCAGCGGGCTTCCATCGGTCGACCAGCCCGGGTCCCGGCCAGAGTTGCCCGCGCTGCGACTGCCGCGCCGACTGCCCCGCGCCGACTACCGTCCTACGCGACATCCTATTACGAAGTGAGACAGAGGGTAGGGCTTCAGCAGCAACCGCGCGTCAATATGGAAATCGCTCAAAAGTCATTCCTGATAAGGAAAAACGGTCCAGAGGAAACGTCGCGCAAATACGCGCGACGTTTCCTCTGGACCGTTTTTCCTTATCAGGAATGACTTTTGAGCGATGCTTTTTTGAATGCTGTCCTACATTTGAGGCAAAGCCCTCTCTCAGAGTCAACGGGGAACTCATAATTTAGAAATACTGTTGTACCTAATCTTCCGATACGTTTTTTAACCGTCTACTGCAATTTTTCGTCCTTTGCCCGGTGAGATCCTTGTCCGTCGCCCATCCCATGAACATAGTTGTGACCCTTCGCAAAATCTCGGCTGCCTCTTAGTGCATTACACCAAATCTGCCCATTTTCGACTGATTTCGATAAACTTGCCTGCTTCTGACAATGGAATCAAAACCTAACGGTAAACGGAGTCTTGAAATCCACAATTTTGGTTTGTATAGTCTTTCTCTGTGCTGAAACGGTTAACACTTATCATGCCAGCCATCTCCTAGCTGTTGTTCACCGACTGTTGGCTCTAATTTATGGATGATATGCGACATTCTGACAACTATAGCACATGAGTAACTTCCATGTTAGATCCGGTACCTCAGAGAAGTAGAATTATACAGTATAATATGGTAGGCATTTCACTGAGCCTAGAACTCGGCTATTCAAGGATGGGCATCCACTTGTTCCCCGACTGCTAATTTTGGACTAACTCAGTTCCGAAAGTGGATGCACTTCACATCACAGTAGTTTCAGTATTTCTACTCAGGTATTAGCCTCTTTCAACTCTCCCTGAGGATCGCTGATTACCTGAGACTGACGCACTTTCAGTAACTCACTAATACGACGCTATAGGTCCACTCTATTTTTAGCCTGAACCAACGCCCTCGCATACGTCCTAGGTCACGTGTCCTTCTTGAATACTGGAGAATTTTCTTCATGCTGTGCAACAAAGCGAGCAAGCGTTTTTGCGGGAATAGCTGAAATCAGGTTCACGTGCTCTGACACAGACACGACGTCACCTGTCGTCATCAGGTGGCAGATTTCTTAAGGCGAGTCACGAGTCGTGACTTATTTAGTAAAAATTGCAGGAAAAGCTCGTATTTATCGCTACCGACTTCCCTTTATTTTCACTTTTTAATCACATTTTCTTTTATATAGAAAAACCTTTTAAGTCTAACGTACCTTGAGCTAAAAACTGGTGAGGGTTGTGTTAAGGGCACTTCGTCTGGTATTTCCGCCTGATACGAGGGATTCGGTTCGCATGAACATCTGTAAAGCTCAAGCTATTTTCCATTCAGAATGCTCGCAGTTCCCACATGTTGTTTATGATTAAAGCAGAATGAACAGGAATGTGGGAATATAGATATGTGCTTAATATGAGATGCAGATATTTTTAGTAGGGTGAATAACAGAGCCTACTAAAAGCCTAGCATGTAAAATTTGAATCTCTTTCGATTACGTGGTCCAACATCACTTAAGATTCTGCAAAGACGGTGAAAATTGTCGCGACGGTCTCCGATGGAGAAGTCCATCGCAGACGGTCTTAGGGTTGTAGCCTGAGCGAAAATGAAGATTTCATAAATATAAAGACAGACTCTAATATAGCACATAAAGGCGAAGCTAAAATAATGCCTCATTACGGTTGACCTTAGAAGCAGCACCCATGGAAAAAATCGATTTTTGCAATTTAGATCCCATAGCCACATGATTTGTCCAAAGCCAAACTTAGATAGCGCAAAAATTAAAATTATGTACCTAGAAAATGCCGATAGCGTGCTTGTCGCGCTTGTCCAAGTTACGAGGATGAGGGAGCGAGTTGTCAGCAGACAATGCATTATGTACGGTAGGAGGGCATAACTCATCCAATCACCCTCATAACTTGGACAGTCACGACAAGCACGTTTCCAGCATTTTCTTGGTGACTTTAACTTTTGCGCTTTCTAACCCTGGCTTTGTTTAAATTATATGGCTAGGGTACAAAAAAAACAAAAATCTCAAAGATGATATTTTGCATGGGTGCCTCCTTTAGAAGTCCCAAAAATTGGGACACTTTTTCTCCTATGGTATTAGTACAGAAAGGAAGCGTTTACAACAGATAACAGATCGTTCTAATAGAGGAAATTTCTGCTCATAAACTGTTCAGAATTTCCTGACTTATTCTGAATCTCCCAGTGCTATGCACATAAGATGGCACCCTAGAAAACGATAGGAAGCATTTTTGAAAATCGCAAATTCAGATTTTACGGTTATCCTTGATTCACAGAGTAACTCGCAAGCTTTTCCTTATGGGGCGCGAATTTTGTGACCAATACCAAAAAGTGAATGGGCTGAAAACTCTGCATAAATCACCATAATCACCTTCCAGGCAAAGCACGAGGGCTGAGAGGGAGTGCATCAAAAACCACACTGAAAACACTTCCAAGCTTATGCTCAAATAGTCCCTATTAGACTTCAAAAGTTGTGCTACTCGAGCTTTTCTCTGAGTTTTCTGTTTTGCAAATGTTAAATATGGAAATATAGATAAAGACCTTTGTTATTCTCACCTGCCACCTAGTGACCGCACAGCGCTGGCGATGTTCCCGTTGAGTCCAAAACCCGGAGGTATATAGCCATAGTCGTTGTCACGCAGCGATATCAACGCTGACTCTTCTTCATTAGCTGGATTCCTCCTGAAAATGGTCCATCACATCGCTTCGTTCATCTCTCATCGCGATCTCCCGGCTCATGCCAAGTCACGCTGGCTGAATGAGCGTAAAAGAAGATTTCGCGCTCTCTTGGGAATTGTGCGCTTTATGGCGAAGTGCGCATGCCAAAGTGCATAGTGAGATAACGAGGCAGTACGTATGGTGGAGATTTTTCTATAAGCTATGGTTGTCAAGATTTGTGTGAACACTGGATCTGGGACAGAATCCGAAAATTCTTTAATAATTCTGCATAGAGGTCCTGAAGCAAAGAAGGAGAGGGGGAGGGAGCCTAGGGGTATTTTTCTGGCATAGAAGACAAGATGCAAAATAGAGCAGTAGGCTGAGGAATCGAACCCCTGACCTCTGGCACTGTAGTCCAACCTCTTACCCACTTAGCCACCCAGTCACACTGATGCACACCTGTTTGCATTGTACTCGTACGCACGCGCATTCATGTTTTGAAGGTTTCCTTTTTCTTTCTATGAATGTTCAGCAAATTTAGTTACCAGCTCTAGATATAAGTTGCAGAAATCTTCCTTATCGCATACCTGTGGGCTAATTTCATCAGCTTAGCTTTGTGCATTTACTCCATCGCGTACCCTACAGCAGCGTTGTTAACAAACATATTCTAGGATAAGGTGAAAAGCTAAAATCCCTTTACAGTGCAAGTATTTCCTATGAAAATATGGGATTCTGAAGATTACTACTCTAAAAAAAGACAGATATCAACCGAAAAACCGATAAATTACCTGTGCAGAGTGCTCATCGCACTGTGGACCTGATGACTGGGAGTTGGTGGAGCTACGGGGGTCGTCTTGTTCGAGATCAACGGTGGAATAGGTATCGTCTTCGTCGCTGTTGATACCGCAGACGGTGGAGGGGTATACTCCTCCTCTCGCGATAGATACCCTACCCAGGCGAGTTCCAGTAATGAGCAGAATACAAATGTCATACAGGACAGCATCCAAACGTCGATTGCCTGGAAGAATAGTTTTTTTAAGCCTGCTAACCCTATAATTCGACTCACTATCAATAATAAAGACTTATTAGTTGGAAGGATGCCAGGAAGACTACCTTGACGTAGGAGACTCGAGGTAGATTCCGGATAATGTTACCGAACTGGAACGTCATCGCCAGCAAAGAGTTCACACCGAGCATTGTCCTGGCTGGTATCGCTTTCGAGCCGAGCGCGAATGAAATCCAAGCTGAAAGGGGCAAGAACTTATGGAGGGTAAACTGCTGGATTTCTTCGCCATACGTGACGAACTGAAACTTCTTTTGGAAAGAAAATACAAGCTTAATGATTTTTAAAAAGAAGAGTAGTCCGCTGAAGACGGAATTTAAGGTCTCAGATGCTTTAAAAATCTTCCTAAACCGGGTTTGGAGCACGTTAGGAGCCTCGGATTGATGTCGGAAGCCTTCGCAAAGCGGCGAAGCCCGTGATACTGCGCAACTTTTGACTCCCTTCCACACCCCTTTCCTAGTTCTGCTGCTATTGCCAGCAAACGCGCGTCAGCCTTGGCCGCTAAGCTCACTGAATACAGAAATTTCTTGAGATAATTTTTACCCTTTTTTAACAGCGAAGCAATATTTCCTCTCGATGTACCCTTGAATTCAGCAGCTATCGGAAAGAAATTCCGTTAGCCAATTTAAGGCTTTTTGAAGGTCCCTTAGTATCCCATTTTGATCTTCTTGGAGGGAGGTTTCAGTCAATTTCTAGTGGAGTTGGAAAGGCGCGGAAGGGGGTAGAGTGGAAGAGAGTTTACCATCTCCCAGTTATTTCAGATAGTCATAAAACCCTCATACAAAGCGGTTCAATTTCTCCTGGAAGTTTTCGTTCTATTTTCTGAGCGAAAGTTTTTGCCAAAAGTTTTGTGAAAATAATCTTAGCACGAGAATTTACTGGGGCAACTCACAGGAATGCCTTTCTTGGTTAATCTCCTCCCCCGTTCCAAACCTTCCTCGGGATTTTAGAAGCTGAAAAAGGAATCCTCTACCTATAGCTACGGTAACAAACCTGTCCATTGTTGTCTATTCGGCTAATATATTGACCAGGGATGTGCGTAACAAAAAACTTTATTTACGAAGGTCGTAAATCTTAAATCGTAAGAATTTACCGTAAACCGTAAATCGCAAAACGTAGATCGTAATTACGCACATCCCTGATATCGATGCATTGTCGCAAACTGAAAGTCCTTAGCTTTCTTGCCAGGGTAACTCGGCAGTCTTAATCCTTTATCTAGGTGGATTCATTTCCATGCCAAGAAGAAGAGGGAAAAACTGCAAAGGGAAAAAGGAAAGGAAAAAACATCGATTTTCAGTTTTTTTTTGCCAGACCTTAACTATATCAGTCGGCCTTTTCGAGACTCAATTAATTCGCAATAAACTTAAATTAGCGCATTGGTCATTGAAAATCTGCTTAATGAGGCCGAGATCAAGACATCTGTACGGGTTCTGTCAGGTTTTTTTTTCTAAGGATTGCCGAATTTCCTTGGTTAGGCAAGTAACTTTGTCTTTATGTTCTTAATTTAGGTCGTCATTCACAACTTAATCTATTCAACTTCACTAAAGCAAGGTGAAAAAGAGGGTCGGGTCTATGCGTGTTTGGAGGATGAATTACCTTTTTAGTGGCCGAAAGTCCAGGCAGAGGAGCTTAATCTAGTTCCTTTCAAGGAATTCATTACCGCGTAAAAAACCTGAGCTCGTCGTGCAGCCAGCTGCCTAGTAGGGCAAGCGATTTTTCACTCTTGATCCCTTGCCAGTAGACACAAAACGCGGTTCTTTTCCCTCTATATAGGTTACCATAGTAAAACAGAATGTTAATGAAGCTTCCACTAAGCATGAAAAGACAATTCAAAGGATGTCGTAGATACTTCTATAGTTTTTGGCATTGACCAAAAATCGCAGCTAGGTGGTCCCGAAAATCGCTGCTTAGCGCTCAGGTTCCTGGCCGTACGTCCTTATGAATAATGGATGTGTCTGACGTGATGCTGAGCAGTGGGCACTAAAGCACGCTGCTACCAGATGGACCCTATGATAACCGTGGCATTATCCTTCAACTCCATACAATGATTCTGCCGTCATACATCAAAACAATAAAAAGTGATGGCCTCAAAAAGATGTTGCAATCGGCGAAGAACACGAGATTAGAATTTTTGCCAACAAATTTCAAAGAAGAGATGAGCAATTCAAAAAAAAAGAAAATTACCAGGAAAAGTTCTGAAGTTTAGGGCAAACGTAAATCTATGTATGACTTTCTTTGGAAGAATCCAAGTTAAAAATTTAGCTATACAGCATACTGCTCATGTAATTACTGCAGCGGGCGTTTTTCGTCAATCTAACAATAAACGGGCAATAGTTTATTTCGACGTTTTGGATTGTAAGCCCGTCATCAGGAACAGACTGCAACAAAGAAGCTGGTTTAACACGAACAGCGGAGATGATGTCCAGTAACTCTTGCTCGCTAAGGCCAAATACGGACCCGATTCGTGGTTTTGCCCGTGGACAACTGGAAGCAAACCGGAAGAGATGGCTTGAGGATGCAGAATGAATGGCACTGCGCTGTATACTTGGGCGAATCGAATAATCGAATATTCACAAAAACAAGCTTAGCGGATCTATGTGGAGTAGCTGTCTGAATCCATGGGGCAGTTTGAAATCTGGGCATACCAACGGTTTTAAAGGTATGAAAAGCGTAAGCCTTTGTTTCGTTCTAAGCGCAATATAACGCTCTATTCGAAAAAATCAATAATTCGAAATTCGATTCGAATTTGGCACGTAAAATTTGCAATTTCTGCAGTAATGTAAAAGACTGGCCAGTTTCGCTAATTAAGGGAGTTGAGTGGTAGAAACAGAAAGAGAGGGAATTCGGAGACCTGATTTCCTTTGCTTAGCAATTCCTACGGAGGGTTTATTCGAAATTATTCGAATATTCGAATTCCCAAGTATGCTGCGCTGTCACTTATCGTCCCTCATATCCGAAAGCCAAGTAAATAGCATGTGGTACAAGAAACCTGCATTGAAGAATACATTACTCCACTCACGCAGTCGCCACTCCGAGTATATGAAGTCCAATGTCATTCAGAACCTTCTTCTAACAGCAGCGAATCTTACAATGGAGAATAATGAGGAAGTTATTGCTATTATGGGAAGACCCTGGAGGGGACGGATACACAAGGAAAATAAAATGTACGTAGAAGCCTTACCGCTCCCCTTCTGTAACAACACTAATTTCACTGCGCGATCTATCAGTAACGTCACGACCATATGAGAACTAGTGCCTACGTGACAACTGTAACTGCTGCGGCTCAAACGTATATGGCCTAAGAAATACCGTATACAAATTAACTTTCTCTGCTTGTGGAAAGTTCTACATTGGAGAAAGCCGAAGACCACTAAGGAAGAGACTGGACGAACATAAAAGAGCACTCAGAACAGTACAATCTTACTCGAACGGTGCATTCTCGAAGCACAGAACACTGCGGCATGCTATGGTGGCTGCACCACAGCTACGCATTGAAACTCTTCATAAAACATAAACAACACGACAGAAAGGAAAATTCGTGAAGCGTTGGAAATACGGAAGCAGAAGCCACCCTTTAATGGCAGGGAAAAAGTGGGAAAAGCTTTCAAGCTATTGTTTACTGAATGACATATGAGGGACGATAAATGACAGTGCAGTGCCAGTCATTCTGCATCCTCAAGCCATCACTTCCGGTTTACTTCCAATTGTTTACGGACCAAGCCACTAACTCGGTCTGTACTTGGCCTTAGCGAGCAAGAGGTATTAGACGCCGCCTCTGCTTTTCTTGTTATATCAATGCAGTCTTTTCCTGTTGATGACTTATATCCCGAAACGTCGAAATAAACTGTTCATTTAAAGGAAAACTGTCGAAAATAAAGCTTCGAAATCAAGCAGTAAACGAAAATTCTCTCTCTCATTAAAAATTTGCATGTTCAAAAAAAAATACGAAAGCGCCATCAGATAAGTCATCGCTTTCATAGCGTTTAGTTTCCGGAAATGCTGTCGAGCTAGCGAAAGAGTTGATCTAAATGTGTTTGATGTAATCTTGTCGGCTAATCTTCCTCTATAAAGCGCTCTATTCCTGCTAATTTCAACCAACTCTTATGGCAAAAAGGATCTCGCAAAATGGGCTCTTTTAATACCAGAAATTTACAGGTGATTATCTTAATCTCTACATACTTTTGCTGTAGATTAGGTCATATTAGGTTGGCAACTAAGTTCCCGCCGTTTAAAAAATTTGAAAAATTCACTTTACAGTAAAAATTAACAACAAGAAAATCACTGTACTCTCCTCTGTTGCTCTTTCAGTTCCCTTATCGCTTGATGCGAACTTTCTTGCAAGAACTGTTTAACTCGCTTAGAACGAGGTGCGTCTTTGACGT